CGTAATTGCCATGGTGGTGGTGTATTCGTTCTCATTCAAGATAGCATAGCTAGCAATTCTATAAGCATCGAAGCCGACTCATGCGAAACTGTCTGGTGTAAAATTTTGCTACAAAACGGTTCTTCTGTTGCCATTGGCTCATTTTATAGGCCGCCCGGTATAAAAACTGCCCATCCTCTCTTTCAGTTGAGCAACGTTTTATTAAGTTTGCAAACAACGCACGTAATTCTCGGAGGCGATTTCAACTTCCCGGATGTAGAATGGAAGTCCTTTAAACCCGTGTTAAACACAACGTCTTTCCTGTATACTACCTTTAGGGAGATGATTAATGCCCACTCATTATTTCAATTTGTCGAAACGCCAACAAGAATTGGTGGGGACAGTGCAAACATTCTTGATTTATTTTTGTGCAGTGAACCGGCTCTTGTATCCTCTGTTGTCACAGTCCCTGGTATCAGCGACCATGAAGTTGTTGTCACTAAAATGTCTTGTAGTGCTAAAAACCGCCGCGCTCAGGCACCCCGCAAAGTGTTCTCATATGAAAAAGGTGACTACCCATCACTGTCGCGTGAACTGGATGCATTTTTTCCTGAGTTCCAATCGCATAGTTCATCGTTAGACATGAATGCGCAGTGGAATTTCTTCAAAACAAAGATAATGTCCTTGACCCAAACTTTCATTCCTTCGTGTATCATTTCGGCCAGGCGACGCAATGATAAACCATGGCTCAGTAGGGAACTCCGATCAAAGATAAATAGAAGAATCGATTGTATCGAAAGTATTGCCAAGTGGCTGATCCTGCGTTGCTTTCAAAAATGAAAGAGATAGGCAAAGTGGTGACAAAAGCTATGCGCAGAGCACAAGAAATGTACCTTTGTGATCTAGGCGAGAAACTTAAAACCAACCCCAAGGAAGTGTGGAAATACGTGAAAAATAAAAGTAATTCTAGACCCACTATTCCTGACATCATGGACGGGATAAATTACGAATCTAACACGGAAGCCAAAGCTCAGGGTTTCAATACATACTTTCAGTCTGTGTTCTCGCATCCAGTTAACACATGTAGTCTATGCCAGAATGATGGCTCGCTCCCGCAAATGAACGACATAGAAATTGCCGAACGCGGTGTCGTGCTCTTGTTGGAAAAAATAAATGTTCACTCTGCTCCTGGTCCTGACTGTATATCCAACTTCGTCTTGAAAAACTGCGCAGTGTCTATCGCCCCTTTTTTAACTCTCATGTACAAAACGTCGCTTGAACAATGCGTTTTACCGGCTGATTGGAAAAATGCCAACGTAACCCCAGTATATAAAAGCGGAGATAAAACAAAAAAGTGTAACTACAGGCCCATTTCTCTGACAAGCGTATGCTGCAAGACACTCGAACATATCATTTACACAAACTTAATGAATCATCTTCAAAGTAATAACTTCTTTTCCCCATTGCAACACGGTTTCAGGGCGGGTTTCTCGTGCGATACACAACTGGTCGAGTTCACGCACGACATTGCAGCTTCTATTAACTCAGGCCTTCAGGTTGACTGTATATTTCTGGATTTCCAGAAGCCATTCGATTCCGTGTCACATGTGTTGTTGTTGCAAAAGCTTCATTGTCTAGGCATACCTAATGCCCTTCTCATGTGGATTGAGGCGTATCTTTCAGAAAGACAGCAGTGCGTGATTCTTGACGGTGTGTGCTCATCAAGCGTCGGTGTATCGTCAGGAGTGCCACAAGGGTCAGTTTTGGGGCCCCTGCTTTTTCTTATTTTTATAAATGATATCTCCGACAATCTCTCTAGCCGTGTTCGATTGTATGCTGACGATTGCTGCATTTACAGTAACATTACCTCTGAAGCGGACACCGTTCAATTGCAGAATGACTTGAACTCCATAGTTTCTTGGTGTGATTCATGGAGAATGACACTAAATCTGTCGAAGTGTAAATTGGTGAGGTTTACGAACAAAAAACAGCCTCGGATTTCAAATTACGTCATGGCCGGGGCTACCTTGCCGGTTGAAACAGAATATAAATATCTAGGGGTCATTTTTTCTGCCAACCTATCTTGGAACGCTCATATTAATTACTTAACATTAAAGGCTAGTCGAGTGCTAAATTTTTGAGGCGCAATTTCAGACAGGCACCAACTAAGTTGAAAGAAACACTATACATATCCAATGTGCGTCCCATATTAGAATATGCCTGCAGTGCCTGGGACCCCTCAACAAAATCAAATATAGAAGCCCTGGAGCGTGTACAGGCACGCGCAGCACGCTTTGTGGCAAGCAATTATAACTTTACCATAAGATCAGCTGACATTCGTTCAGGATTGCAATGGCCTCTGTTAGCTGACCGGCGAAAGTACCTACGACTGTCCCTATTTTACAGCATAATCATGAACAAAACAGGCATCGACAAGGATCAGTATATAAAGCCACCTACCTATGTGTCACCCCGTACTGACCATTCTTTAAAACTGCGTGAATACACTTCCAGGATCAACGCATTCAAATACGCTTTTTTTCCAAGAACCACGCATGAGTGGAACGGCTTGCCAGAGGAAATTGTCTCTGCGCCTCCCTTATCTTTTGTTAAAAATTTGCACAATTTTTTGTTGAACTAATCATTACTGTATTTCTGATACGTTCCGTACTAATTATTTTTTTTTGTTTTTATTGCCCTATGTTACCAATAGCACTCTTCTCTTTCAACGTTTTGCTTTGTATTTGCAATTTGATGCCTTATTTATGACAGTGTTGTTTCACTTTGTTATGACTATGTTCTTTCAAACGATACAGCCTTTTATCCGCAACCATCTTTTTCGGTATATCGACTGTACTGTATTCTTTTGCTTGTTCTCCCCCCTACAATAATGCCCGTAAGGGCGATGTAGGTACATGTATAAATAAATAAAATAAATACTTGAATGGCAAGCAGAGGGCATGGGTCACATTTCCTTTCAATAATTTTTTTCTAATTTTATTTTTTTTCACTGTTTCGCTTCCACCACCAATGGCGACACCGCTTAACGCAGGAATAGGTGCATAGGAGCTGCGCTCTAAAAAAAAACAGCGCTAAACAGGAGACGAAGGAAGGTGCAGTAGATGCTTGCAATGGATATGCACCAGCTTAAACAAATGTCAAAAGTGACATTAGGGAAAGTCTGAGTAAAAGCGACGGGATGAAAAGCTAGGATAAAAATTGCCTTACATTGTGAACTTCAGCATTTCTACAAACAGGACATCCACAATTTTTCGCTGCAAAGATGACGTGATAGGTTCTCCACAGGTAATGATGTTATGCACAGCTCCAAAGCTTGGTAGAACAAATGAGGAGCCGTGATCATCCGCACAAGAGGACCTATATAGTGATAACATGGTTGCTTGCAGTTAAGATAAGTTATGGCAATGTTACGTCATAAATTGCTGCTGGAAAATGTCCCTCCAATAACCTCAACCACAAATGAAGCACCCGTTTTTTAGCATAAATAATAGTTTATGTTGCAGAGGGGCGAGTCAATGGTAGTAGCCTACTGAAGCAAACATAAGGTGGCAAGGAGCCACGGGCATCACCAGGGTTTTGTTTTGAGAGGGTGCAATCCTGGGGGTACACTGCCACTGGGGAAAGGGTGGTCATATGGGTGTTTTGAACGGGGGGGCGTAACTGGCACAGCTTGAGTGGGGGAGGGTACCATTGCACCTTTCTGCCAAAGCCCATGTAAAAGGCAAGAAAAAAATACAATTCCTGGAGCAGAAATGCCAAGGGCTCAAGATAAGCTTAAAAGAAACAATAGGGAGTGAAGGTCAGCAGGGAGTCCCCAGCTGTCCCCAAAGAAAGGAATAAAGACATAAGTGGATTGGGTCCTTTTGTGTTCCCCCACCCCTTAGCTGGAGTTTGAAGGAGAACAAAAGAAAACACAAGAGCTTAGGGCCCATGTGCTGTGGTCTGTAGGGGCGAACACAAGGGAAGTGAAAAAAAAAGCAAAAGCGACAACGAGCACAAAAACTGCCAGTGCACTAGACCATGTTAGCAATGGCAGTACTCCCGTCGAATGGGTCACAAGCATGGTCATCATCTTCACACAATGGCCAATCAATGGCAGTCGGGAACATTACATGGAATGTGTTCTATGCATTAAATTCACGAACATATGGTACTTGGAGGCATATATTTCATCAAATCGAGCCAAACAAATGCTTTTTCTAGTCGTTTCATGCACATTGTAATCCTACTGCTTTCAATGTTTTCAAGCAACACATTGAAATGTTTATGATAAAGCTGATCGGCGTTCGTGGGTGTGTCGACTTTCTTCTTGTGTCCATGTTTGCATGCCCGTTTCTAGCACGTTTTCCTAGAAGGAATATTTCAATCTGCTTGGCACATTAACACATTTGCAGGGAGGGGATTCTGATAAGCAGAATTTGTCATAAGACAAACAAACGACCGCAATCTCTTGTAGTTCGTCTTAAAGAAAGTCTACTGTATAATGTATGTCCTGCTGTAGGGATAAATTTTGTTTTGTTATCACTATACACTCACCGTAGTGACTAGATGAGCGAGTTCATACCCCCCCCCCCCCATTAGGGCTGTCTGAACCTCTTGAAATTTGAAGTCACACATAAAAACAGACGAAATAATGTACTATAAGTGTGGTTCGATGTCATGTACAGATGCAAGTAATAAATTAGCCATAAAACAAAAAATCTTCAACCCATTCATCTCACATTTTAAAAAGGGCAAATGCAACAAATAAATTTGATCATTCACACTTTCAAACGATGATTCACACTTTCTAGGTACTCCGAAAGTACACAGAAAATAGGTATTTGAAAAGCGATTCTCTTACAGTTCAGTAAGGTCAAAAAAGCTGCTCTTCTCAGGCACCTATAACACGTGGAAGCACATTATATGGGATGCACAATATTTTACAGTAGGTGGTGTAGGGTACACGAAAAAAAAATGTAGCTGTCATTTATCGTCAGCAAAGTGAAAACTTCGATTACCTGCTCTTCAGGATACTGAATTTCGCATGTGGATGCTGATGAACCATCCAAAGGTGTGAGACTAGAAGGTAGCAGTTTGATCTTTGCCATGTGTGGTATATCGTCACCAGGACCAAGGTCGATGTACTCATTGAAGTTCACGTCCATGACCTATGTGATAACATTTGCTAACAATTTGCTTCCCGCTTTGTCAACAAGTGTGTCAGCACACACGCTGTTTAGTACAAATGCACTTTGGCAAAATCATCAGAATATATATAAAAAAGAAACACCACATAGTGTCAGGGAGTGAACACTTGAAACTTTCGAATAACCAAACGGTGCTCCATTCAACGTTTTCATGCTGTTGCGACGCGCGCCTCCGACGACGTTACGAAGGGCGCCTCGAATCTCTCCGCTGCAACCACTGTTTCGAAAGACGGCGACGCCAACATGGTCCCAAAGGCGCCACTGCTTCGAACTCCACCGGAAAGGTCACCTGCCGTTTGGGAGCGTAGGTTTCTCAGCTCGCGACTGCTTCTGCGCACAACTGATAGACGAGCGGACGAGACGACGGTGAGTTTAAACAAGGTTTATGTACAGCATATATACAGAGGCGTTACAAATTCGGCACTGGGGCCGACAGACTCTCGAAGAGCCGAGCTCTCCTCTCTAACACATAGGTCTGCTCTAAAGTGGTCTGCCGTAAAAAGGGGTCTGTTGACAAAAAGGGGTCTTTCTCGACGCGCCGCAGGGCTTCTTTTATATGCCCCGGGTCCAACCCAAACGTCCAACCCGAAGCGCCGCTGGTCGCGAGGTCCGAATCCTCGAATGAGGTCGCCGCTGGGCCGCGTCCTTCTTTCTCCTCAAATCTGAAGAGGCTGCGCTGCAGGTGGCTGCACCCAAGGACGAGTGACATCGCAAGGCATTGCGTCAGACCCGCCAGACAGGAAGGCGCCAGTTGTTTACTCGACGGGCTCGCTTGCGGAGATGACTCACTGCACGTGCACGCCAGAAAGGCGCCGTTGAGTTGTTGATCCAGGCATAACAGCACCCCCGCCGCCAGACAATGCGCCGAAGAGCTGCTTCCACGTGGCTCGGATGACAGGCGCGCTCGTTCGCCAGGTCCCTCCAGGTTCGCCTCCAGGGCCATGGGGAGAATGCAGCTCCAGACTCCGTTCAGGGAACACATCCCATTCTTGAGAACGGATCTCAGCTCCACTGGCTTGTCGCCACAACTTGTTGACCAGCTTCGCTCGTCTCTAAAGATCCTTGGTTTCAGCACTTGTCGATGGTTCTGCAACTTGTCAAGAACGGATCGGCAACAGACAACACACGACACAAGCAAGTGCCCACGGTCACCCGACAGAACACCGGACAAAGTATAGTACAACATATACCTAGCTATGTGTCTATCGTAAATTCGTTCGCTCTACATCAAGAGGCACATGTGGGACACAAGACTCTTAAATGAGAACTCATTTTTTTACACGTACAACATCGTAACGAATTAGAATACAACATAAACTTGGCTCCTTGAGCTCACTCTGGACGAGAGCGCTCAGCTAATGTCATGATGAGGTCAAAATTTTGCCCCGAATAGCCAGCGAGAAACCGAAAGGTTGAGGGGGTACTAGCTACAACGCACTGCTCAATGCGCCTGCATTAGCGTTTAGCTTTCCCTTTTTTTTCGAACGTCAAAGTTGCGCTGTCGGAGTATCACGCTCCCTCTCAGTAACCAGCCACTTTCAGGCGACGATACCTATGCGGTACCAAGAGCGGCTCATACTTGCGACGTTGCAGAGGGGAACAACGATACGGCTTGCTAGGGATTGGCTCCTCACAAGTTACCTTGACATCGTGTTCGATCACCCTCGTGTTACCGGGGCGGTCCGAAAACACGTATCCAAACTCGGAAACAATCCTTTTCAGGTCCTCCTCCTGGACTTCACTTAACCTAGGCTCTAGGTTCAACTGCTCCAAGATTACCTCCAATCCCCTTTCGATTACATCACTAGAACTCAAAATTTCGTCTCCCTCTTCCTCTGAAGCATTCAATAGCAGATTTACGACTGCTTTAAAGTTACTGTGGTAAATTTTGTTCGGCCGCCTTCCTAATTTCACTTCATAATTCGTGTCGGAAAGCTTAGATATTACTTTGGCGGGCCCTTCCCAATGAATCTCAAGCTTGTTCCTTTTGAACGGCTGCAGCAGCATTACCTGACTTCCTACTTCAAAAGCACGCTTCTTCGCCGATTTGTCGTAGTACTCCTTCGACAACATTTGTGAAGCTTTCCTGTGACTTTCCTCTAGCGCTTTAATCAAGAGGTCCTCACGCTGCTCTTGAATGAGCGTTTCTCGATCAACCCTCGACAGCTCCCTCCAACTTTCCGCTACAGGCGACAGCGTTGCAGCCCTCTCGCTCTGATTCAATGGCGCCATGTCGTCTCCCCTTGCTACGGAAACCGCGCTGGTCGCTTCGGCGACGGGCCGCTAGCGTGACTGCTCACATGACTCATGCGGAAAATTTCCTCTCTGAGGTTCCGTCGACCCGCCGACAAGGTCACTTGAGAGTTCACCGCATTGAACAAGATCAAGCTTCTGCGAAAGCTTCCGCCCTTGCGATCGCGTGAGGGCCATGTACGCTAACTTAGGGAAGAACGATTTACCCTGTTCTTTGAGAAGCTGCTCTGAGTTGTTAGAGAAAAGATAAGGAAAAAGTTTGGGAAGCGCGGCAGGCACAGCCGCTTCGGTGCGAAGCTTACCGAACGGGCCTTCAATGACAACCGTGGCGATGGTAAACAAGCACTCTGCTCCTCGGCGACTTGCCTGATCCACGCGCATTCTCCTGTAAAGTCATTCGGAGACACCAATGAAGGATGAACAACATCCATGGTTGCCGCTGAGTCATGAAGTACTCGACACTTTTTCCCATTCAGACTAATTTCTTGGATATACGGCTCCAACAACCGCATGTTCTTTTCCGATTCTCGGATTGTTGCAAAAGCAAACTTTTGGTTACAGTTTATCGCGATGTGCCCTTCCTTTTTGCAGTTGTAGCAGATTAGCGGCTTCCGTTTGTTTTCCGATTCTCGGATAGTCGCAAACTTTTGCTTACAGTTTATCGCGATGTGCCCTTTCTTTTTGCAGTTGTAGCAGATTAGCGGCTTCCGTGATTCAAACGCCCGTGTGGTATCAGTGCGTTGTTTAGGAACCTCACTCGATTTCTCCGAATCCGTTTGCCCTCCCCCCACAGTGTCCTTCGTAAGAGACGGGTCCTTCTTGAAATTACGGTGCGGAGCGGGTTTCCGTTGATCAGGTTTCCTTGAAAAGCCCCCTTTCTTTTCATCCTTTTCAACGCGCACTGCCCTGCTATGCAACTTTCGGAGAGTATAATACTCCTCAGCTAGCTCTGCTGCCTTGTTTAGCTGTACTTCACCAAGTTTGTCCTGCAGCCAAAGTTTGACATCCTCCTCGATGCAGCGGTAGAATTGCTCCAATGCAACGCATTCCACCACTTTATCGCGGTCGTCATAAACACCTTCGCCCTTGAGCCATTCAATTAAATCGGCTTTAAGACGAAACGCGAAGTCAACGTGTGACTCTTTCCCCTTTTTAGCATACCGGAACCTTTGCCTGAAAGCCTCGGGTGACAACTTATAACGTCTCAAGAGCACTTCCTTAACCTGGTCATAGCTCTCAAACGCTTCCCTCGACAAGCAAGTTATCGCGTCGGACACTTCGCCGCGAAGAAGAGCTAACAGGTTCTGCGCCCGAAGAGACTGCTCCAAAGCGTTTCGCTCACACACGTGTTCAAACTTGACGAGATACTTCGCCATGTCTTCGCCTACTACGAACGGTGGCAGTTGGTCCCGAATTCTAAAACCACTGACCTGAATCGTCGGAGAAGCTACGCTAGGCGCCTGCGAACACTGTAGGATTGCCAATTCTATTCGTTTCAACTCGAGGCGCTCCTGTCTTTCGGCCTCCTCGCGCTCGCGACGCTCGCGCCTTTCAGCTTCTTCCCGTTCGCGAGCTTCTCGCCTTTCAGCTTCTTTGCGAGCTTCTCGCCTTTCAGCTTCTTCACGTTCGCGAGCTTCTCGCCTTTCAGCTTCTTCACGTTCGCGAGCTTCTCGCCTTTCAGCTTCTTCACTTTCGCGAGCTGCTCGCCTTTCAGCCTGTTCGCGGCGTGCTTTGATATCCACCCAAGCCTCATCGACTTCCTCAGCCGAAACTCCATCTCTCATGATCTCAAGGATCGCTTGCTTTCGTTTCGCACGGCCCAAAGTAATGCCGAGTTCCTCGCAAATTTCGATGAGTTCCTTCACTTTAAGGTTCTCCATCGTTCACACTAGCCTCTTGCTGTTTGCCCCTGTTAACAATTTACTTGCCGTACCCACTATAAGTCAACTAGCAAGACGCGCAAGCAATTTTTCACACTCCCGTGTTTACCCCCTCCGCATTAACTTTGGTTTTCAAAGCACTTCAACTTTGCTTGAAACGATCAAAGCTCACTTCAATGCTTCACACAGCCCTTCTCTAAACTACTACAACCTGAGCTAGAGTAGTCTGGTTAACTGAGTGGAAAACATCAGGCACTCACCGCATCGATGTCGCTGACGCCGGCCGATCCCACAGCTGCCAACCACTGTTGCGACGCGCGCCTCCGACGACGTTACGAAGGGCGCCTCGAATCTCTCCGCTGCAACCACTGTTTCGAAAGACGGCGACGCCAACACGGTCCCGAAGGCGCCACTGCTTCGAACTCCGCCGGAAAGCTCGCGACTGCTTCTGCGCAAAGCTGATAGACGAGCGGACGAGACGACGGTGAGTTTAAACAAGGTTTATGTACAGCATATATACAGAGGCGTTACAAATTCGGCACTGGGGCCGACAGACTCTCGAAGAGCCGTGCTCTCCTCTCTAACACATAGGTCTGCTCTAAAATAGGTCTGCTGTAAACAGGGGTCTCTTGACAAAAAGGGGTGTCTCTCGACGCGCCGCAGGGCTTCTTTTATATAACCCGGGTCCAACCCAAACGTCCAACCCGAAGCGGCGCTGGTCGCGAGGTCCGAATCCTCCAATGAGGTCGCCGCTGGGCCGCGTCCTTCTTTCTCCTCAAATCTGGAGAGGCTGCGCTGCAGGTGGCTGCACCCAAGGACGAGTGA